GGGGGGGTTATGTAGAAAAAATACAGTCTTCTGTTGTCTATAAAATTAGAAAAATTATCGTCGTTTTGCGCAAGGGTGGCGTAAGATTATTGCAAAATTTCATGTTTTCCGTTCCGTTTTTGCTCATATCTCGGAGGCAAAATGAGCAAGGACGCTCATTTGTACATCATTCTAGGCAGAAATATATGGCCTTTTTAGAAAGTGAACCATCGATAAGGAAATGTTGCAGTTTCCTCAAAAAATGCTTGAATTCAAGAAGTTTTAGATTTGCGTGGTTTTTTTTGAGTTGCAAAATCCACTCGAACATGACGCTGCTTTTTTCGAAGTTTCTCAAGAACCATTCGAGCCACTGAATTCGTTTTGGCATCGTTGGATAGAGAATTGAATGGGGGATCCTGGATCCGCTCTTGGTATCATTCCAGTAAGCGGCTTAGTTAGGATTTAAAAAAAGATTGTACTTAAAGTAATAACTGCAAATGACTTCGCAGGCCAATCAACCGCATAACGTATGCTCAACCCTGTACATTGTCAATAATTTTACCCATTTTGCATTCGAGAACATCTTACCTAGGGCTGCTTGTTATTGAAATGTCCATGTTTTCATCCAATAACTTTCGGCCATGTGCGGCGGGGGTTTGAATCCTCTTTGGTCCGCCATGGTTTCCCTGCAATAAAACGAAACATGCCCAGACTGTTGCTTTTACATTAAAAGAAAAAAATGCCATTTATTTCATTCTAACAATTTGGATTGATCTTTGACTCCTAGTATCGAATAGCAAATATGTATATTGTCAAATAACGATTATCAAAAGCAGACAAGCCAGTGTAATCGTACATGACCAGTCAGAAAATTGGTCAATATGCATAATCAAAGGCGTTTCCAGATAAGTCACTAACAAAGACGCATTGTGCCTGCAAAGCGATTGTGCAGAAAAATGCCTTTGAGTTGATTAAGCACGAGTTTATTGCAAACATTATTTTCTTAATTTCGTTTCATTGTTCTAAAAATTGATGTACGCAGTTGTTGGTTTCGAAGCGATTAAAGATACGTATTAAAAGTATCTTCCTTTCCGCTAGATTTAATTGCCTGCTCAAATATACAGAGTGATCCACTTCAAATAGTGGTTTTCTTAACTTCAGTTCACTCATTCTTGTATGGCAGCTGAAGTCACACCCAGTATGCCCTGTATATTTTAATGAGTCTACATTAAAGTTATTGACTCGAATATTTTGCAAAATAGAATTTAGATTTATTATTAGCCGAATTTTGTTCTCAGCGTATAAGACTTTGTACGAAATTTGATCTGACGATGGTTTAAAACCCGAAAAATGTGTTTTAAAGTAACCGGTCGGACTTTTGCGCTTTATTGTACCGACATTTTAAAGCTGAAAAACATTTACCAAACAGAAGATATTCAAAAAACAAGTAAATAACATTTGAAACAAATAAAACTAACGGGAATTTTTGATTGGGATATTTTGAAATACAAACTGAACGAGACTCGAATGTGTTGATGTGAAGACATTTGGAAAAATCGAACAATTTTAAAAAGGGAAACAGTAAGAAAGAAATTTTCGAAAAACAAATGAAAAACGGTTGTAACAGTAATTACTCAAATTCAACTTCAAGACTTTAAAAACAGTTTTTCTTATTGCGGAAAATGTGAAAGCGTCCCAAACTCTTAGATAAATAGTTTTTAATTTAATTAAATAAAACACCGAAGTGTTTTCTTTAATAAAAGCTCACTACGGGTTATCTTTCTCGCTTACAACTTAGCCCCAATGGCAAGTGCCTAGAACATTACTTTATTCAATAAATGTGCTTTTATTACTCTTAGTACTAGCTTCAATCAAGTCTCAGATTGCTGAAAAGGTAAAAGAATGTGATGGGATAACGAATAACGGATTTATCAATAAAACGCCCTCTCAAATGCTCCCAAAACGTATATTTATCTAATGTAGTTAGATCCATTAGAATCAGATGCTCTACAACATAACTCCACTAATAACTAAACCGAGCAAGCTATGTAGGCAGAAAATTGATGAAGGAGCTTCTTCATTAAGGGAAGATGCTGCTGATACCCCTATAGACGAGTATGGATCTAGTCACGACAAAAAATAACGTGGACGAAACCCAAAATCGCCTACACAGGGATTGATCAATCTCGATGAATGCCCCAGAACCGAGAAAAACTCCATCTATAGTGGACACCATGAAAATTTCTTAATGAGTGTGGATCTAGTCACGAGTATCAGAACAAACGTGGGATAGAACCGAACTCATTGGGAAACAGTCATGTTTTCAGTGAAGAAAAGGTTCCCAAATCCATAGGAAGTAGGGGAACAATTTGTAAAATTCTGCATTTTCTAAGTGACTGTTTGGAAACTAGGCACATCGTAGGAGGAATCATGAAATAGCCATTCAAATGGAATTGGCGTCATTGGTTTTGGGCCTCTAATGGAAAAGCTACAGAATGAATAAAAGCACTATACAGGTTGTTTACACTACTTTGTCTCAACTGAGAATACAAAGATAAAACAAAGTGCGATATAAACAAACTTACCTGGCCACTGAGCGAGAGCAACAGGTTGGAAAAGCGCCGGTATGAAATTTCCCGAAAATCCCGATAAAATCCATGAAAATCTTTATCGACCCCGCACAAACAAAAGCGAAGCGTCTTCAAGAGAATCGACAATGGCCGCTGAAGGATCTAGTAGCCTTGAAGCTTCTCAGAAAACTTCAAAGTAATTTGCGCAACCATCTAGTGCAGACGCCGTGTCGATCGTCGCACCTTTTCTACTACACGCGATTGAATCGAAACGTACGTCGACAGTTCTCCGAAGCTTTCAAGCAAGACAAATCAAGAAAAAATGGTGGCTAACCTTTCTTACCAGTGGGAGGCTGAGCTGAGAATTGTCAACTTACCTTTGGAGTTCTTATCAGATTATCAGGCTTATCCAGCAACTCCTCAGAGACGACCACAGGCGATCTGAGCCGACCGTTAAGGATTATTTACAACAAACATTTAAAAACATAGCTAAATCCACTTCAAAGGATACGTATGTTGATCAGTGTGATCCTTCTTCTTCATCAACTCCTTTCTCTCCAATTTCTCCAGGTATTCCAATGATGGGGCTGCGCCATTCAACACCGAGGTTGTATAGGCAAACCACTGGTCCACCATATCCTCTCCGCTGATATTGTATTTCAAACACAAGTCCAAACCTGACAATTTTGGAACTGAGTATAACCGCTAAAATCACTTCAAACTAATCACTTACATTTCGAGACCACTTCGTTAGTGGGCTTTATGTTGAACAATTCAAACTGACCGGTAATATCGTCTACTGAAGCCATCAGCCGGCGTTAATAATTAACAAAATAAAGAAACACTATCACAAAACAATTAGATTGGGGCTTTTACTCGAATGGCGGGAATAACTGACAATCCTGACAGTTATCCAAGAGCAAACAGGTATATTTGTTTTATGTGATTTTGAGCTCTGGGATCGGAAAACTGTACATTGTAAAATTTTAAATGTTTTGGAAATTTTCAGTACTATTTCGCGCAACTTTATCGTGTGGAAATTTTCCTATTTACGTCAGAAAAATTGAATAAACGCGGGTTTTTCCCAAAGCTGATCAAACAATTTGATTGGTGTTGGCAGGCCTGCATTACACATTTTCGACAGAAAACAATCAGTATGACAGGCATGTAAAATGGCTTCATCAATGCTCAGAAATTTTTTGTTTATGTTGATATTTATTCGGTTTTCCTCAGGTAAATTCTTATATTCTTTTATTAACTTTTGCCATTTGCTATTTTGCAATGTTATTTCGTTACTAGCTTAACACTAAGAGAACTTTTATCTTTAGAGCTTGCAGCTACGTTACAGATACGATAACAAATCCAAATAAAGCATTATTAATACAGTATAATTTGTTGCTGGTGTTTATAAACAGGCCAGAAGATCATGTTGTACACATACTCAATAATTCAAACTGCTAACTGCTCCTAATTTTTCCAACGAGTTTAGTTTCAACTTTGAAAATGCACAGTGTAGTTCTACACTACACAGAAATGAACAAAACTAATGCCAACAAGACCCACTGATTAAAGCGCTTATTGGCAAGTGTATAGTGCAACACTCGAATTGCTTCGAAGCCTTTTTTGCATACCCGTAGGGCTGTAAACCTGTTACCATGTTCACAGCTTGCAGCTTTGGAGTTTTATTGCCTATTAAAATATTGCCTGATGAAACCGTGATATGGGAATGAAGAAAACAGCCCGATTTTTATTAATTCGCAGAAGTTCGCATCAAAACTGGCATTTGGCATAAAAAATCCTCTATTCTGCCTAGATATCGTCTGCCAAGATCAGCTATCACTTAAAGAGTCCTCAGAAGATGACGACGATTACAGCGATGACAGCTTTCAATCTAATGATGATTTCCTGGATCGACAGAATCAAGTGAACTTTTTAACAACGAAGACCTATGAGTGCCATTCTTGTGATGCTCCCGATTGTGCCATTCAAACTGTTTGCCACAATGCTGTCCAATGTTGGAAGTCCCGAGTTCGAGAAAGTACAGGTACTTTTAGCATTTACCAGCAACTATTTTAAGCATTTCGTGTAGAAGGTTTTAAGACAATCTGATACTATCTAGAAGAGTAATTTGTTCAACTGATTGTCTGATATTAATGAAAACGTTTTCTAGGTGCCGAGAGTATTTCGAGGGGTTGCACTACCCAATCCGAGCAAGTGATATTCATGTGTAAAACACCATCGTTCACGGCGCAACACAAAAGACACGCAAGTGGCCAATACCGAGTCGAATGCTGTGAAGGTAAGAAGACAGAAGTACACAAATCTCCACTTGCATATCCTAATGTTGGCAATAATTTACTCTTTTTAGGTGATTTTTGCAATAATGGTACGTTTCCCGATTTGCCAGCCCCTTACAAAGAGGCTTTCATAGAAGTGTCTGGTTCAGTCCTCTTCGGCTTAAAGATGGTCGCAGCCATTGTAGGGCCATTGGGCGTTCTAGCGATCGTTGGATTTATTTCCCTAACCTTACTGAAAAAATGGCATCAGAATCGGTTACTTCGTGAGACTAGGTGAGCAAGAAAAACAAATTTAAATTGTGAATGAATGAAATGATCACCTAGAACAAAACTCGATTTTTAACCGGATGGATAGTCTCCTCATTTTACATTAGCTTAGATCTGGTGACGGGGTGGATTTTCAGTGGACCTGACTTTTGTCCTTAATACATGATTTGTTACTTTATTTTATCCAATAGTTTCTATCTATATCTATATTTTTTTAATGAATCGAAATTAGTTGCATCAAAGTACATTTTTGCTTTAGGTTGAATCCGGAGCAATACTATGCTACAGATGAACTACTACGGGCTACTGCAGCAGGCGACAGCACTCTTCGAGAGTACTTGGAACAGTCGATGACATCGGGAAGTGGATCCGGACTGCCCCTTCTGATACAGCGCACTATGGCGAAGCAAATTTCTCTGATAGAGTGCATCGGGAAGGGCAGATTTGGAGAAGTGTGGAGAGGACAGTGGCACAACGAGAACGTCGCTGTTAAAATTTTCTTTTCTCGAGACGAGGCCAGCTGGAACAGGGAAACTGAAATTTACAGGTAACGTTGCGGTTAGAAACTGATACAGTGGTGATTAAAATAATGTTCTTGATCATTTACAGTACTATTCTGCTGCATCACGATAACGTGCTCGGCTATATCGGCTCAGATATGACGTCGCGCAATTCCTGTACACAACTATGGCTCATAACGCACTATCATGCGCTGGGCAGCCTCTACGATTACCTGAATCACACCACTCTAACACATGCCCAATTAATGAGGATATGTTTGTCTATTGCTACCGGTCTGGTGCATTTGCATACAGAAATTTTCGGAACCCAAGTAAGTGTTTGACGCTTTTAGGAGATGTTGTGTGTTCAATAAGAGTATATAATATGTGCCACACTTTAATCCCCTGGTGATGCTTTGTGTAGGATTACCAGGGGATTAAAGTAGTTTGAGTAGTTCAGTTGCTTCTTTTCGGGGTCCAAACAGGAAACGGTGCTCAAACATCGTCTTCTGGGTGTTTTTTTTTAAACAGTTAATTAGTGTGTTATGTACTTTGTCAATTTAAAATAGAAACTGTTTTAAAATTCGTTTTTTTTTTTGTTTCCAGGGACGAAAACCCGCAATTGCACATCGCGACATCAAGACAAAAAATATCCTGGTTAAAACAAACGGCATCTGCTGCATCGCTGATTTTGGTCTTGCCGTTACTCACACTCAAGCTACCAACACCCTTGATATCGGATCGAATCCCAAAGTGGGCACCAAAAGATATATGCCTCCTGAAGTTCTGGATGAAACGTAAGTTTACGTTCACTGCTGTGAATCCGTGAAATATTATCGTGCCTTTTAGTATCCGGATGGAAGTATTCGAATCCTTCAAGCGAGCAGACGTATATTCTTTTGGATTAGTGCTATGGGAAATCTGCAGAAGGGTGGTGAGTAATGGTATTGTGGAGGAATACAAGCCGCCCTTTTACGATGTGGTGCCGAGCGATCCAAGCTTTGAAGATATGAGGAAAGTCGTCTGCGTCGATCAGCAACGGCCCAGCATACCAAACCGATGGACCAGTGACTTGGTAAGCGCATCGTTACATTTTTCAAGTAAGATTTCACTTTAATTACTGACCTATTTTAAGGTTTTGTGTGGCATGTCCAAACTAATGAAAGAATGTTGGAGCCGTAACAGTAACGCCCGGCTTCCAGCTTTAAGGATTAAGAAAACCTTAGTCAAATTGACGGCAATTGAACATCTACCAATTATAGAAGATATTGAGATGTGCGTCTGATGTAACATGAAAGAAGCACTGAAAGTCGTAAGTGTAACACTGGTGAACTAGAGTTTGGGTTAGTAAATAGTAAATAAACGACTTCCATAGACTGGGCTTCCTCTCGGCGAAAAAACAGCTCAAAATGAGTGAATTTTTCGTGAAAAATTGCAAGTATTGAGGATTTGTGGAAGTTATTGTACAAAGTTGATCATGTTATGAGTTGGCGTGGAAATGTTTACAAGACATCCTAATTTGCTCATTAAACACGGTAGTTTATTAGCAGATTTACTCTCGTTTAATAATTTCCCTTACATTATTAGCGTACTGTGTACATCACTGCCTGATATTCAAATAATAGTTATTTGTTTTTAGTGCCATTGTTAATTTGCAATATTAATTTAATTATAAACCGCATGAGCGTTTGGTGAATGACGAAACTGTGTTCATAATCAGTGAGACATAGATTAACAGAAATTAATTTTTCTATTTAAAGGGTAAGATACTATTTGTAAGTAGTGGAAGCGCTGTTTTAAGCAAATGACAAAACTATGGGAGTATGAGCATTTATCTAACTGCCTTGAATACTGTCATTGACGGAAATGCTACAAATTTGGCAAAGGTATTTTGTTGACGAAAAATGCATGTATTTGGAAGAGAAGAACACTCCACATAACATTCAAACGAGTGCATCCGCGACTTCTTTTTCCTCTAGAGCAATTTCATGTTCAGAACTAATTCAGGAAGAGAATACATCGTTTGTACAATATGAATGTGAGCTTTACCTTCTCTCTCAATTGCTCGTTTCATTCGTCTTTAACATGATGGATTGGATGATAAAGTGATTTGATAGTGTGAATCCCATCTTTTTGCTATTTGCTATTTCCACCCTCGAAAAGTTAATCGGTTTAAATAGAGTGAGAACATAAAAATTCTGTTATTGAGAACCAGCTTTAATTCACGTTAATTATATAACTAAATAAGCAACAATGTTACTTTTTTACGGTAACTGGGGCTTGTAGGACGTGTGAAGTCGTCGTTCCAACGATCCTGATGCTGACGCGCACTCTTTCAGATTATTTACTTAATTCGTTTTAGATTTAGTAAGCATGAGACGTAATTCTAAGTGCCAAAAAATTAAAACTCTGCCTACAATTCTACATTGTAGAGATAATTGACAATCATGTAGATACATGTAGTAATGTTGAAACCTATTCTAAGTCACTCGCTTTACGTGTAAGTTATGTTCTTGTTGCCACTTTCGTTGTACGTTGTTCTGAACAGCAATTGTGTTTTCCCACGTTCTGAAGGAAACCTTTGGAAGATATTCAAGATGGTTCGTAAACGACTTCACTTGCAACCAACTGCTTTGTTTCTTGGACATATGTCCGAGAAACAAAGTATTGAATTGTTAGTTACTCTAACAAAATACTCAAATTAGCCATAATCTATATTTTACTATAAAAAAGAAAATAAAAAGTAATAAGTTGCTAGTGGTAAGTTTATAACCTGTACATGTCGTGTATTATATCGATATTCATATCTTTTAATTCAATCAAATCGGAGTCTGTTTTGGACTGTTTAGAGCGGATTTTCGGTTTCAATATGCAATTACTATTGGAACTGTCATGTATATTGCCCAAACTATAGGCCAATCGAAACTGAAGCAAAATCATCCTGTATGAGTAAGACCGATTTCGAGTTCTTTTATATTTAGGTAACGTATTCATATCAATTTATTTATCAATTACAAATTCTAGAAAATATTTTTCATTGTCTTTATTATAAGGATATTTCGTTCATCTGTTCATCATTCGTTATTGTATCTGATAATTACTTAAGCAATATATTTAGTTTAGAAGTTTTTATAGGTAGTAATGTTTTTTTCTTCGAACGATTCCCATAGATTCCTTCGATTGCACCTTGGACTTTGTACATTTTCCACAAATGTCCTTTCCATCGTCAAATTGGTCATCGTTTCGATCCCGAAACCGGAAAATGTGTGTTAAAAAAACATCTATCAAATAAAACTGATAAATTTAATTGATATTTGTTGAAGCAACACTGTATGTATACAAGGGAAAATGCTGATTTTTTTATTTTGAATTTTTGATTCTCAAAATGCACAATAATAATAACGCAACTTACAATAACCTACACACTACAAAATAAGCATCACATATCGTCAAACAGTTGAAACAATTAATAATAATATAAATATTTACAAGGCTAGAAAATATACAGGGTAGTATAGTAATTACGGTCTAAATGGGTTCCAGTGGCAGTAAATTCCATGATGTTTGGCTTATTGGTCCCTTTATGAAAAATACATTAAACTAACACTTTTATATATTGAGAAAATGCCATTGGAAGGAGTTGCGGAATTGAAGGTTACCCTAACTTCTGACACCAGTTCCGTAATGCGCTCCTGCGGCTTTGTCCAGTTCAGTTTCGAAGTTTCTCAACTCGATGTCCCCTATGTTTTCGGTTTGGAGTTCAACAGCGAAATTCTGAAAAAAACAACAGCAGGTGAGTGATTTTATCTTATACAAAGTCGTAATTTGCATATGAATGTTAAAGGCATGCCAGCTGTTTACCAGTTGGTATTCCAAATTTCTGCGATTTTCTACCTTGAATGTATTGACGATTTTGGTTCAAACTGTTGGAGAAAGTCTTTTTATGCGTTTGAAAGTACCTAGTTCAGTACAAGGGGAAATGTTTGAGGGACGGTTTACGTGTATTTATTTATTAATAGCTTATAATTGTTAACAAGAAAAATAATCTAAGAGTGGTACGGCCTTGATCATTGATCTGAATTTGAATTAAGGCCTTTCAGAGCATGTTTTCAGGTTTTCAAGACCAACGTATTATTGTAATTTGAGCCATACGCGTATTTAGCAATTCATTTGCATTTGAAGGCTGAATTAGCACCTAATTCGAAACGACTTCCTCCGGTTTATAGGCGGACAATATTCTATTCCGTCTGCAATAAAATGTAATTAGTCATTGTTTTCCAAGACGGGCGTCATCATTCATAGCGAAGTTAATCATCTCGACCAGAGATGGAAAGATTGCGATTTGATCTAAACAAATTTTAATAGAAAAAGTACCCAATGGAAGATAATGTGCAAAAAATCAGCTAATAAAGATCAATATTAACGAAAATTACGCAACTGCAGCATAGTGGAAGGTATAAGCACCTAATGGGTGTCGTCATCAGTTAAGACTTGGGCATATATCACATGTATATGTGAGTTAGTTAACATGCAAAACCGCATGCCTCCGACTAAAAGAGAGCAAAGGTTGCAAGGCTTTTGTTTACCACGTTAGGAGTATGCTCCAATGATAACCCGATTGTTTAATCCTCTTATAAAGAACCCATTGTATTGTTTCGCTAAAAATAGGAACAATAAACTATGCAAGTCGGCGAATTTAAAACACTTACCGATACAACATCCTTGATGAGCGCTTTGTCCGTGGACATTTTCGCCCTTTTCAACACACTGACCGAAGGTCCCACCCAGGTAACCAACAAGAATTTCGCTCTTCTGGACATTTCATCGCCTGTTTGAACGCGGATGTATCCAAATGCGCGTTCATCGTCTCCAAATTGCTTCTTGAACTGGTTGAAATCTTCGCCTTTGGCCGATGTCACGATTCGTGGTCCTTCGAACTTAAACACAGCCCTGAAATTGATCGAATTGTTAACTTGTTCTTAACTAGTTAAATAGTTTAGGTTTGCTTCATTAATGTTGTAAAATCAGCTTGATCTATTTTTATTAATTAGCTGAATTTATAATGTTACGGTTAACGGTTTGTACAAAAAGCTATTGGGCCGCGGATAATTATAGGAAAAATCTCCAAATGTTAAGCAAAATCTTCAGAATGTGTAGGATTTTTCGTATTCTCGATGTATCATTAATTTTTTTTATTTATTTATTAAGTATTTTTGTCAAAAGATAGTTTTCCACACTTTTAAAATGACATCGACGAATATGATCTTGCGTCGATTTGCGTGACGTCAGTGGAAGTCACTGCGTGTCGTGATTTTTTCCTGTCTGCTA